CAGAGAGCGCGCTGCCGCCCGCCCGCCGAGCCGCCAGCCCAGGTGAGCGACGGCGCCCGGGAGGGGACGCGGGGGAAGCGCGGGTCTCGGGCCCCGGGAGGAGAGGCGAGACGTGTGGGCCGGGCTGGGGAGAGCGCACTTGGCTTCTGGTGTGAGGCAAAGCCTCTTCGGGCAGGCGGGATGTAACTTCTAGCAGACCGACCAGCGGAGCAGCTGGTGGAAAGGGCTTGGCAAGCTCTTGGGGCGCAGTCGCTATTCTTCAGGCAGCGGGGGGCTCTCCTGCTCTGAGATCTCCAGGGTGTTCAGGCATGGAGACCCGCCTTCCCAGACCTTGAGGGGAGCACTGAACTGCCGGAAGCCCCTTCCTAGTCCTTGGAGAAGGGGCAGGAGCTGCTACTGACTTGGCCCTGCCAGTCCCTCTGGTCCCAGTGCCATAGTAGGGCGGGAAGGGCAAATGGGGTGACCACCCCGGGCACCAAAGCAAAGGGGCTGCCCAGCAAGGGCAGGGCACGGGATGGAGCTGCAAGTGGCTTGTTTGGGGAGGTGCGGGGATGGGGAAAGGGCAGCCCCCGCCGCTGTGTGCACTCCCAGGCAAGCATGGCGTGTGCCCCCCCCCACGTGCGTGGGGCGAGGGCAGGGTGTCACTGCAGGCTTTGGCCCTGGTGCCAAACTTTGTCTGGTCCTGTGTTTCTCTGACTGCCTTGGGTGAAGGGTCTGACACTCAGGCGGGAGCTGGTGTTCCTCTGGTCCAGTCTCTTGCCTGGCACAGAGGCAGAGTGAGTGCTGCCGAGGGGTGTAGGGAGAGCACACCCAGGCTTGTCCACTCTCAGCTCCTCTCCCAGTGCAAGCCAAGCCGTCAGGCATGCCTTGGAAGACTGGTAGGTGCATTGGAAGACAGTAATAGGTGCTAGAGATAGCTGGCGCATCTTATTTATACGGCCTCCTTGGGGGAAGTGGTGTCCGAAAGGCAGAAGAGAAGCTGTGGTCAATTCATGTGGAGGCACGAGTGATCCTTGCTCCTGATCTGTAGTCTTACTGGTTTCAGTGGGGTTGTTTCTAAAAAGGAGAGATTTACAAGTGTGGAATGTGGCCTAAATTGCTGTAATTTAGGTTCCTTACCCTTTGTGGCCCTGCACCCAGCCTAGTTCAGCGATTCTCAACCATGGTGTGGCATCACCCTGAGGTGCCTTGAGATCCTTTCAAGGGTGTCATGGGGTACAACACAGGGTGAGCACTGTCAGATGTTCATACTTGATTCACAAGATGGATCCAGAGATTTCAAATAGGAACCTATATTGTTAAAACAGGGGCAGGCAATTATTTTGGGCAGAGGGCCGCTTACTGAATTTCGGCAAGCCATCGGGGGCCACATGACAGGCAGCCCAGGGCATATTAATATTAATTTTCTAAATTTTTTAGGGGCCTCGCGGGCTGGATAGGATGGGCTGGCGGGCCGCATTTTGCCCACCCTGTATTAAAGCATTCAGGATTGTCGTGGGCTTTCAGAGTTCTTTGGAACAGAAGAATTGCTCTGCTAGTTTTTGCTTGGTTTTTTGACTACAGAAACATATAAGCTGGCACTTTTCTAGGGTGTCCTGAGTCTAAAAAGGTTAAGAATCACACCAGAGTTAGTCTCTTAGGTACCACAGTGGTGGAAAACACGCAGTGTTTTCATGCTTGTGTGGGTCATTTCTTTGCTGTCCCCTTCTCCTCCCCGTAATGTCAGAAGAATGAGGAAAACTTGGCATATGTTCTGGAATAATAAGAGTACTTTGAGATACCCGTGTTAAAAGTACTCAGTGCTCTTCAAACACTCGGCTGAGCCTCCAAATACTTTTGGAGGTAAAACATTATCCACATTTTACAGTTATGGGCGAGGAGACCAAGACGGAGATTAAGCGATTTGCCTTGGGCCACACAGAACTGGCTGTGCTGGGAGTAGGTCTGAATTCTTTATTAGTCCTGTACTCACAGTTTCATATTCGCATAGCGACTGTTCTATGGACTATTAATAAAGGCTAAATTTCAGAGTACAGGTGTCATGCTTCTTTGGTGAAATTCGTATAAGCTACCTGTTCCCAATCTATCCAAATACGGGATGAAAATGGATCCAGGGGAGTAAAATTTACTCCACTGAAGTGGATGACAAGACTGCTGCTGATGTCGCTAACAGTACTAATTCCTAGCTCTTGCATGGGACCGGGACCAGGACCAGGTTTCCTTAGTGTACTTAAGTGATATAAGCACATTTTTTCCAGATCCCGTTGTTTAAAAGGTCCAAAATTATAAGCATTTAATAAATGCATGTTGAATTGTCCTTAACACTGTACAAAGCACCAAATGAAACAGTTTCTCCTCTGATTAGTTTTTATTCTAAAACAGAAACCTAGAGAAAATGTGACATGCTAGGGAAAACCAGAGGAAGGAAATGTGTTGAATTTTGATTTCTAAGTAGTTAGCTTGTCCCAAGAGAACTTTATGGTATTTGTTAGGAAGTAGAAGAAAGAAATAGGGAGCTCTTAGCCTCCCAACGAACAGGTGTGATCTTGGGACATATATTCATAGGTATTCAAATTATGGTTGGACTGTACAAAAGCTGAGAAATTCAAATCGTTTGCTTTTTTTTTTTTAATTAGGCAAAAAAACCACAGGCAGAGACATTTAACCTTTAATTGGCTACTTTTTCCTTCATCTTCAACCTTCCTTTCTGTCAGTATACTTTGTAAAAGAACCAGTGGAACCAGGAAATAAAACAACATTAAATCCTATTTAAAAGATATTGGCTATAATAGTATTTTGAGGGGGACAGCTGTTCGGCCAGATGATCTGCATGGGTAGATCCTAACTCCAATGCACAGTCCTGCTTAAGGCAATGGGATATGGGTGCACGTAGTTGGCAATAAAGCACGGTTTGGATCCCATGTCTCTGTAGTACTAGCTTACATAGAGCAGAACCAGAGCGTATGTTGTTTAGGCTCAGTTTGTTTTTTTTCCCTAAAAATATAACTTCGCAAATTTCAGTTACCTGTAATCTATTTTTTTGCAACTTAAATCTGTCTAACAAATAAACTTGTCCTTTGTTTTTCTTGCCCTTTTCTTCTCAACTTCTGGATCTTTCCTGTGTGATCATTATTTGAAATCACATTGCATGACTGAGCTATGCTATTTAAGTTTCAGGGTATTGTTTCTGTTTTGTGGCATTACGAATACTCTTCTTTTTAATTTTTTTTTCTGTTTAAATAAAAGTTGTTGCTACTGTCACAGTTCTTCAGTTCTTGAAGCAGAACAGTTCTGGTATGGATAGGGTTAAGAGACTCTTGGCCTTTTAATCTGGGCAGCATTGCTGTACTATGACCCAATAATATACACATACAGTATTAACAGAAACACTTCCTTTACTGCTTCTTTTAAGCATCATGATAAATTGTAGCTCAGCAGCTTGATGCACTGGAAAAAGTAGACCCTGTCAGAGCAGTGTTGCCATGATACTGAGGCACTGTGTCCATGCCAATAGGGCCTCTCTGATGGCAAAGAATCTCTAAGGTGAAATATGCCTAGTTATCTGAGGAACTGAGCCATGACCCATGCCACAGAGGAAAGTAAGTGACCCCAAGCTTCCCTTCCCACACACATGCAGCAAATGGTCCTGCCATTTTGAGCTGAGCAATCTTTCCTGACCCTAAAGTGAGTGATGGGTTTAACCCTGAGCACATGAACATAATTCCTGTATCTTGATTGAATTCATCCTTTTACAGAAGACTAGTTTGTGGCTGATGTACCAGGAAAATGTCCAATTTGGGGGTTTTAAGTGGGCCATATCTTAGATGCAGATCTTGTGTTGACCCTTTGCACAGAGATGTGTTCAACTCTATGGGCTAAGCTGTCTGAATGTGTCTAGGCCAGTGGTTCTCAACCTCATTAGACTTGAGATGCTCTTTGGAAAATCTCAGCTCCTACCTTTCTCCTGTTTTCTGACTATGAAAAAGTAGTAGAGAAGTGATTCTTACCTAGGGTTGCATGCAGCACCCTGGGGTGCCTAGAGATCCTTCTAGGGGTGCCAATGGGATGCCCCTGTTAGATGTATAAACTTGATTTACAAGATAAACCTGGAGATTTCAAATAGGAATACACAGTGTCAAAAGTATTTTGCCCTGTTGTGGTTTCTCCTGCAACAAGAATTGTGCTGTTGTTTTTTCTGTAGTCAAAAAAACAAAAGAGTGAAAACTAAGAGCTTTCATTTTCTGAGGGGTTCCTTGAGTCTGAAAGGGTCCAGAATAGTTGTACTAGAGCAAATAACTTAGAAAGACCACAACAGGTCACAGTGCTTTTGATGCTGTGGATTCTTGTGAGAAATCTCTGAATTTACCTTGTGAACTACGTAAGGGTTGGCAGACCTAACAGTGCTAACATTAAACACCCCCCTCCCCACAGTGTCACCCTTGAAAGGAAGTCTCAGCACCCTGTTGAGAAGGTCTCTGTGCCTAGATTAAAAGGACTGATATTACCTCTGGAAAGAAAACCTCTTGAGATTGGATTATTTTATTAATTCTTTTCCTTTAAAATAATGGAAAATAGAATATTTCAACACATTCATTACACTGTAATTGATATTTTCATATTTGACCAATGGAAATGTTACAGAGTACTGCTTGTTCAGCAGTAATCTTGTGCTTGCTTTTTATATCTTGTTGAGGCAGTAAAGACTGAAGGACTGGGCAATGTGTGAGAAGACCATGCATAAACCTCTAGAACAGCGGTTCCCAAACTCTGACAGATTGCGCACCAGCAATTTAAAATGATTCAACTTTAAGTACCACCACAGTAAATTTTTGTCTCATAAAGTCATTTTAATAAATCTGTTAACGTGTACCACTGACAGGTTGTCTGAGTACCACTGGTGGTACGTGTACCACAGATTGGGAACTGCTGCTCTAGACAAGGTCTTTCCTTCTCTGCTCAAATCCTTCAGTAGCTTTGGTGGTTTGAAAATTTGTAGGGGGTCCATTACATTACAATAACTGTTTTAAAAGGTAGTTTCTTTGGTGGTATCATTAAGCAGAGAGCTGTAACACCTTTTGTTTTAAAGGCAAATCTCTGCACTGGAGTTGTTCTACTGCTTGCTTGGTGAACTCGGGCAAGCTAGTACATCTCTATGTACCAATGGCCTGTTCGTAGAAATAGGTTTATAGTCTTTGTCTTGTCTTTCTTGACTGTAAACTCTTTGGGGCAGGCACATTTTTTCCTTACCTGCTCATTGAATGTCTAGCAGAAGAGTTCTGATTTTTTTTCACTGGGTCTTGGGAGACTGCAAAGCAGACAAAATTGTTTTGATTTATTTCAGTTTACCTTGTTCTTTCTTGGGAACCTTTGAGTCTTTATTACTGTAATGTAATACATATTTTCTCTCATATCACGCATCCCTTTCCCCCCCAAAAATCAGCCCCCCAAAATTGGGGTGTATGTCTTGCATGTGGAAGTTGATTTTTCTGTCCAGAATTATAGCACCCAGCTTTGATGCTTGCTCTAAAACCAATTGCCTGGCAATGGCATTTTTTTTTTAAGCACCTGATGGAGTCAGTTTACTTAATAGCTCATTGTTCTTCACTCCACAGGTGCTAAGGAGCGCTTCTCCTGTCTAATGTTTTCAGTGTTCGACTAATCAAGCTAACCTTGCTTCTGGCAATATTGTCGTGTGCTAAAATTGCTCCTCCTGGTCTCTCTCTTCCTATTTTGGTCTTGAAGTCTCGTTAGTTCTGTCCCTGCTCTAAGCAGCTATAATTGGGGAAATACTGTCTCTTCATTCTGCCTTTGGAAGGTCTCTCTTATTTTGGGGGTGGGGGTGATATGCAAGAAAATACAGTCTTTTGTAGGTTTTATTTGGATGTGGTTGTGTGTCAGGACTGTGACCTTGCTCCTTTTTATGGACGTGCTTATTAATTTGCATCATGTGTTATGTATTCTTCCTTGTCTTTTCTCCTTCCTTGTTGGCTCTTGCATAGCTAGCCTGATTTTTCTATTGCTGATTCATATCTTGGAGACTGAGCAAATAAGATTAAAGTTTCGAGAAATGAGGCATAAAATATGATAGCAAGTTGTTACCCAAATGCAGGAAGTATGTTTTTGTTTGACTCTCTCGTCTTATGACTGAAGTGAACGATGTTGCTTATATTAAGATTTGTGAAGGTAATTATAGAACAGCAGTGCTTTTTTTAGCACCTGTTGTGTTGCTTGCAAGTCTAGAGCTGTCTTTCTCTCTTCCTTCTTTATAAAGTTTGAGGAAACTAATATGAATAAAATTTTGCTTCTTTAAAGAACGGTACGACTATAAAGTAATACGTAAAGCAGGGGTTGGCAATATTTGCAGGTGTTGTTGGCACTCTGCCCAAAACCTTGACTTGTAGGATGTTGGCATGCCAAGGGCGGATGGCAAAGGAGCTGTGAGGGGCCTGATTCTTGTTGTGGCAGTGCAGCCCTGACTCCTTCCCCACCATCCATGCCAAGATGCATGTGCCAAGCAAAATGTTCCAGGGGTTGCCTACCCCGACTTAAACTTCCTGTGTGGACTTAAGTATTGCTGCCATTTTGGGGGGTTGGGGTGGCAAGGAACTAACACAGAAACAGATTACTCAAAGCCAGACAGAAGGTTCTCAACAGAGCAGGAATTAAAACAGGAATTTTTGGCTTTCAGTTCTGTGCTTTGTCCTCTAGCAGGTCTGCTTGTTTAGTAATGCAGAACAATTCAACAAGGCCAGAATGCAATTCAACAAGGAGAAATGCAAAGTGCTGCACCTAGGGAGGAAAAATGTCCAGCATACCTACTGCCTAGGAAATGACCTGCTTGGTGGCACGGAAGCGGAAAGGGATCTTGGAGTCCTAGTGGACTCCAAGATGAACATGAGTTGGCAGTGTGACGAAGTCATCAGAAAAGCTAATGGCACTTTATCGTGCATCAGCAGATGCATGACGAACAGAACCAAGGAGGTGATACTTCCCCTCTATCGGACGCTGGTCAGACCGCAGTTGGAATAGTGCATGCAGTTTTGGGCGCCGCACTTCAAGAGGGATGTGGATAACCTGGAGAGGGTCCAGAGAAGGGCCACTCGTATGGTTAAGGGCTTGCAGGCCAAGCCCTATGAGGAGAGACTAGGGCACCTGGACCTCTTCAGCCTCTGCAAGAGAAGGTTGAGAGGCGACCTTGTGGCTGCCTATAAGTTCATCACGGGGGCACAGAAGGGAATTGGTGAGGCTTTACTCACGAAGGCGCCCCCGGGGGTTACAAGAAATAATGGCCACAAGCTAGCAGAGAGCAGACCTGCCTATGCAGGGGGTCGGACTCGATGATCTATTGAGGTCCCTTCCGACCCTAGCATCTATGAATCTATGAACAATTGCAGCTATGCCGAGGAGATATTTAAGGACATCATGTTGCAAGAGGTCTGTCTTAGACCATGCAATGTGCTTTCAAATACAGCACAATAACTAAATATTTAACAGTGATGGTCTAGGAAAAATGCAAGTAGCAAGGATTAAAAAAAAAATTTTTTTTTGCCTAACCAAGTTTAGGTCAATCTAAATGCCCAGTCGTGCAGATGTTCACAGGGCTTAAATCACCCCAAAAATGGTGTGCCCCCGTGTAAGTTAGTTCACCTCGGGGTGAACTAACTTTAGGTGGGGAAGGGTTAACCTAATCTATGAAGGGTTAACTCAACCTACCAAAATTCAGCACAGCCTTAGGGCTGGGGAAGTCCAGCTACTTGCTTCAGTCCCAGGGCTGTGCTGTTTTTGCCGTTTCTTTTTTTTTCCTTCCTCCCCACACATACACCCCCCCCCAGCTATTTTTAACCCCAACCCCTTCCAAGTTACTTACCTCTGACTGCCCACACCACTCCTAGCAGCAGCAAGTGCCTGCATGTGTCACTCCCAGGTTATGTTTAGGCAGCTTAAACCTAAACTGGGTGCAGTGAACATTTGTTGGCACCCAAAGAGACCCACTAGAGTTGGGAGGGATACAGACAAGTTTTCCAGTACTGAGTACCCTTCCTCCAGTTTTGGTACTGAAAAGCTTGTCTATAGCCCTCCCAACTATACAATTGGTCCTATAAAAATAATCACCCATAAAAAACCTGTCTTTTAAACTGTATATATTTTTTTAAATATAAGGAATCTGATAAATTTAAAAGCAGTGACAATAGAATTGAATTCAAAATTTACATTGAAACACTGTAGGGA